ACCTAACGACTCCAAAATGTGCCGTATGCTAACAAATTCAGACCTCTTTGGTTTCAGATATGGTAAAATTTTGGACAGCTCACAAACGTTCTCGGAACGTACAACTCTAAAAACAATAATACAAGAAACAGAAAACAGAAAAACCCAACCAATGTGTTCTCTAATAACAGTATACACTTCAACCCCCAAAACCAAACAGTTCAAACCGTTCTTAGAGTTCGTTTCCAAAGTCTTTCCCTTCACACTGTGTAAGTACGAGTTTTGGGCGGATGAAGCGAAATGATTGCTCTGAAAGAGTCCTGTAAGACAGACAGACACGTGAAACTCAGATACACCCAGATACAGATACAGATACAGTCACAAATCAACACAAATCTGAAACAGAACCACTCACACTCTTGGGCCTCTTTGGTACTTCCTCTGGTGTTTCTCACTTCACGGCACACGTTTTGCATATTCTCTAACTAGGTTGTATACGTTGAACATGCCCACCATCAGCACCACTACGAGGATCACGGGGACGACTGGAGCGAGCCGGGAAGCTACTGGAAGCGCTCCCTGCAGACGGATCCCTCGGTCGAGGACACGGACTCCTCCACAGATAGCTACCAGGTGCGCCAGTCGCAGCAGCAGCCGCAGATCCAGGATGCCCAGTACCTGGCCTATCGCAACCAGTACGGCCAGTGGCACTAGATTATACCACAAGTCCAAGCCACTCCACCTGAACCCTGACCTCCAATGGAGACATTATTTATTGTATTTATTTGATTCACATTCGTGGTACGACGCTGATTATTAAATAATCCCTAAGACCCTAGAGCAAAATTAATTTTAGCACAATGAATGAAATGCCAGTAAACCAATTTTAGCTGTAACCCTTAGCCCCCTTAGTGCAATGCCTTAAATATATGACTAAATTTTAAAATGTACCTTTAATGAGAAATTGAAGAACTGTTTTGGATACATTCGCAGCGAGCAAACAAACTAGACATAAGTTATTTATGCCAATTATTTATTGTATTCGTATGTTACATGATGCTTATTAAAGAAAACTAAATTGGACGGCTGCTGTTTTATTAGACAAGGAAATGTTGGCATTTATTTTGTTGTATTTGATAAAGCAAAGCATTTATGAGCAACAATTTTCTATCAAACCTGCCCCATCAGAAGCAGAAAACTTGGGTTCTTCCAATCAGAATGCGGTCAATAATCGCTGGAATTCCGAAAGAAGTTTCACCTGCTGATTCGAAATTCTTTGGCCCAATTCTGGGCTCTACTGCTCCGTAATACCAAATGGGGAAGTACGCCCGAAATAGTCGCGTCTGCGGGGCCATTAATTTTTTTTGGGTGTCGCTGTGGGCCAAAACAATTTGCGCATGCGCAGAATGTGCTTGGAATGCCAAGTGATATATGCAAAATGTTTGTAATAAGCCATTAAATTTGTGTTTGACAAACGTCTGACAACTCGAGCGCCAAATTTATGGCTAATAAATCTGAACGGATTGTGTGGCAGAACTGGAAACGCTTTTGAATAAAAGGCTGAGCAGAAATATCAAAAACTTTGTGTGATTTCGAGTTACTGTATAAAGTTCAGCGGGGGCGAAAAGAAAGTCAAATTACACCTAATCAGCTCTGAACGCATGCTGACACGTTTGGCTTTTACATTTTGATATTGACCTTGTTTAAATTAATTGAAAGAAAACCAGGGGCCATTAAAATGCAGCGTGAAGAAAAGCAAATTGACATGCCGCAACGCGCTCGTTATCAAGGGGGAGTTTCGTGCAAAGAAAGGCTTATCATTAGCAAAATTAAAATCAATGAAATTGGCCATAAAAATTCAATTGACTTGGCCCAATGCGTGGGAGCAAGTCCAAGTTCCAGCTCGACTTGGATGGGATCGGAATGAATTGGAACTGGAACCGAAGGTGTCTTTGCAGACGTGTGCCACATAATTGATCGTAAGTGAAACAGAAATAGTTTAGTTTTCAGCACTTTCTAAACAACGCCTTTGCACAGAAAGAAATGGAGATAGTAGGACTTGGGACTATTTCCTTAAAAAATAAATAACCCATTTTTATTGGATCTCAACCTACTAAATGCTATTGTAGTTCGAAATTTGATACATTTAAATTTATTGGGACTATACCATTACTATTCTTTTAATTTAACATTTTCCATAGTTTCCATTGCTTCCAGTGCACTTTGGACTTTGTTTTATGTTTTTAGTGGGCGGTGGTGTCGATCTGGATGTCTGGTGGGTGTGGCTCCGGGCCATCAATCATGCAGATACGATCTGTTCTCGATAAGTTGACAAAAAAAACGAAGCAAAAATCACTAAAACAATCAATTGAAATTCTCGCGGCGCGGATATTTGCTCAATGGGGATTGCGTTCGGGTGGAATAACGGTGACCAACGTGCAGTGTTTGCGAAAATTCATAACTAGTATCAATGGATTTTGGCCAAAAGGAAGTGTCAGTGGAAGTGGGCGTGGACGTGGGCGTGGGCGTGGGCGTGGGCGTGGGTCAGGAGATTTGGCAAATACGTTTTGGATAATTTCTAAGCGCGTTCGGAGGAATGCTCCACTAAGTGACAGGTGGCGACGTGCCGCTGTCAGCTGAACTGTCAACTTGGGCATTTGATGGAAACTTAATTAATTTTAGTGCCACTAGAAAGTGGGACTGCATCGCCCATCGCCATATCACGTATACGCAGCGTGCACGCGACTCAGTGATCAGTGGCAGAAAATGAAGGGACGATACCACATTTCAATTCCAACGCCCACGTGTTTAATTTCGGATGCTTCTGAAATTGAAAAGCACTCATGATTTTCCATTGCAGTGCCATTTGCATTTTAGAAAGTTACATTTGTTTTTTCGCTGCATTATAATCGAGACAGAAAACCCAAAAGTCCGAAAAGAAAAAGTCCAAGTCCAAGAAGCATTTTCGCTGCTGCATTTTTTCCACTCGACTTTAAAATAATACCCGTTTAAGCAAACCCACCACCACCACCACCACCTCCTTCTATTAATAATTATATTTTTTCATAATTCCAGTCATGATTCTGCTTTTGCTTGGACGTAGAATTTCAGGCTCAACCTCAACACGTCGACTTGTTGTCAACTGGCTTATCTTTGCACGATTCGCTCTTGGTTTGGGCCCTTTATGCCGTTTTTACTGGCAAACATTTCATGCAAATTGCAATTCGAGGTACTTTGTTGCCAAGTGCAATAAGGCGCATGAAGGCACGTTAATGATCGTGCTAAAAGAGTTTGACTTAAAGAAGTCAGAAGTGGTTTATTCGGAGAATTTGATACTTTAATCGTTTACAAAGGAAACCTATAGATAAAAAGGACAACGAACTATTCACGTAGGCTTCAAAAGCTTGAGTTGACATTATTTTAAATGTCAATGGAACAATTGTTACCATTATATGTGGGGGAAAAAGGGAATTTGCTGCAAACTGAAAGACCAAGAAAACTTTTTTAACTCTTGTAGAAAGATGAAGTAGAAGAAGTGAAACATATGTATTTTCCATGGCAGTATAATCTTTCAGAACCCCTATCCTGACTATGTCTCATTATTATGCCAGGAGCTCTCAGCTCGGTTACAAGATGAACAACATGAGATAGTCGTATCAGATAGTCCAAATAAGCGGCTTTGATCAGCCGCCTTTGGGTTGTACAGCCATGGGGTACAGCCATGACAACTAACTAGCGCCAGTCGATAAATAATTAAAAAGAAGTGCCATAAATATAGCCATTTAAATGGCCATTTCCGATGCCATTGGCCTCTGCAGCTTTCGCTTTTTTCAGCTGCGGGTGTACGTGATTTTGATAGAACTCGGGGGGCGGAAAGGGGAAACATGAAATTAGAAATTCATAATTGTCGCGTAATACGGCACCACAAAATACGTGGACTTCGATGACGGCCCGTTCGCATGCGAAATGGTAGCACACCATTCTAAATTGCTAATGCGCCTTAATAGGCTTCGCTTGTTTTGGGAGTTTCGGATGGGGTTTATTTTTGTTTTTCGGACTCTTTTTTTTTTAGTTTTGGATGTGTGTGAAAGTCACTGCATGATGATATTTCGTTTGTTGCATAATCCTTCCACGCAAATCGCCCAGGGCCAAGCCAATGAACCCTGTCGAATTTTTGTTTGCCCATCTCTAGAAGTATCATATAGCATGATACCACACCATACTATAAAATTGCAATCTCACGTCGTCGCCGGGGCAATCTTTCGAGTGTAATCTGCTCTGCGAACTCGTGTCTTCGTCACCCAACTGCCATTCTGAGTGCCTCCTAATGGATAAACAATTTCTCGGTAATAAAAGTTTGTCACCCAACTAACTAGCTTCTTTGGAAATTTTTAGCTGCCGGAACTTCGGGATTCTCAAAAGTCAATGAAGATCTGGGTTTTAATGAAGGATTTAGTGTTAATTAGAGGGGAACCACTTCAAAGAGATTAGTTTTCGAATTGAAATTAATTTAACTAAAACTATTACTTCTTTTTGCAAGAAAACCTTACTGCTATTGGCCAATTCAAGCATAAGTTTCAAAGTAAAGATTATATTTATAATTAAATAGGTATAATGTGACATCAAAACTGTACCAATTGCCACATTTTGTACTAATTTATTGAGATATTACAAGATCACGGTCATTACCATCATATTTCGTGGCGCTCTTCAGCTGGCTGCCCGCTCAGGTTCCACACACTTGCGTTCCACATACGTCGGCACACTTTAAGCGCAAGCGCGCCAAACCTACCGCCACGCACACCAACACACGGTGCGTATGCGCAATGTCACGTCTGCGGAGAAGAAGAGGGTTCCAATTGTAAAGGTGTAATGGTGTGCGGTTGTAATTGAGTTGTTACTGTACCCACATACGTAGTAGCCACCTTTCTTCGGGCTTCTCTGTGTGCGCGTGACTCTTTGGTTTCTCTGCCTTTTTGCATTCTTAATAAATCAACGCGAAGAATATATAAATTGGGCAGCTCGGTGGTCGGTGGCAGTTAGTATTTTCCAGCCAACGGTGCCTCACAGGTGTGCAAAGAGCCCGCAGTGCGAGTGCAAGCCTTGGTCTTAGCCCAAATATATAGTCTGGATATCGAATTGGATTAAACGCAGCAGCCCACACACCCATTTACAGTACCTATAAAAAAGAGCCGAAGGCCCACAAAACGGATTATCGCATGTGTTTAAGCAAAGTGCTAAGAGCTGAGTGATATATAGTGATCAAAACTGAACAATCTGTGTGTGAAAATGTGGAAAACGTTGTGCCTGCTGCTTCTTTTGACGGCCACCTGCAGCGCAGGACCGCTGTCCGCCCACCAGGTGAGTGTTAGAGTCCAGTGGTCGGAAATCCACCCAGCAGACAGCTTGACCACCGAAGACCACTTCCGTTCGCCTTAACGGAAATGGGAAACTGTTAGTGAATTGCTTGCCGGCCCGACGAGCCATACGATGAAATCTTAATGGGACATGGCCTGGACTCACTCGCATTTGCATACCTGAATGACGAATGCCTCTTCTACTTCTTTGGCCTGGCTTATTTGGTATGCCGAGCGTTTAGCCTTTTTTAACGGCCAAGACTCCAAGACAATTCGGTCTATGGTATTTATAGGCACTGCAGGTGGCTTAATGACAGGTAGAAGCCGGCAAAAATTCGCCAGAGAAATCACTGGAAAAGCTTCCAAGAATTACCAGCACCAGAGCCTTAAAATTTGCATTACTCATGGGGGGACCCTTTTTCGGGAAGGGTCTACGTACAACTGAAAGTTTTTGGCACCAGCTCATTGAAATGCAAGGCCCAAAATAATAAGTTAATAACAAATCCATATGGCTAAAATATTATGTGATAATATGTGGGCGTTCCATTCGAAAGTGACTTCAATTGCAGCGAGACCCATAAAAGGGCTGCAACAGGTGCGAAGTGCACAGTGGGCTGGGCTTTAACTCACCCATTCGGTTCGATTCAATTTAATTTTCACTTGCCGCCTCGTAGACGAAAACTAGAACACAAGTGAAATTTTTCGGGTGCCTAGTTGATCGCAGAGTCACGTGCTGGATTCGCGGGATTGTCCATGCTCATCACGTACCTCGTTAGCCGAATGAATCGCACAGCTGGCTTAAATATAGGATACGAATACGATCAGAATAGGATACCAGCCATCGTAGATTTCAGAAACTGGATCACACTTTCCTCTTTAAATGGATTACATTAAATGTACACCTTTCCTGTTTCTTAAATCGAACAGAAAAGAAAAGCACCCGTAACGCGTGAGGAACCAGTCCCAGCTGAGGTGGAAATGCCGGAACAGACCGAAACGGAGGAGGAGCCGGCTCCAGCGGAAGCAGCTTCCCTTGGAACTCTCACCCTGCCCAGCAACGCCACCTCCATCCGGTCGGACATCACGGATAACTTCTCGTGTGCCAACAAGACCTATGGCTACTATGCCGATGTGGAGAACGACTGCCAGATCTTCCACGTGTGCCTGCCGGTCACCTACGCCGATGGCAGGGAAAATACTTTCCGCTGGAGCTTCATCTGCCCCGAGGAGACCATCTTCAGTCAGGTGGGTGTTCCGCAAAGGATCGTTGCTTTAGTTAAAATATATTTAACGTTTATCACAGGAATCGTTCACCTGCATGCGTCGCGAGGACATGACCATTGAGTGCGAGGATAGCTCCAGATACTACGAACTGAATGGCAACTTTGGTGGTCCTGCGGAGGAGGAAAGTAAGCCCACTCCCGTTGAGAGTGAGGAGCCGGAGAAGGAGGAATCGGAGCCCCAACCCGAACCCGAACCCGTTGATTCGGAGCCAGAGCCAGAGGTTCCGGCGGAACCAGAGGTCCAGACAGCCAAGCCCATGAAGCCACTCAAGGCCCAAAAGCCTAAGCCCAACCGAAGGAAGCCTCAGCCCCAGAGGAAGGTTCCAGTTGCAGTCACCGCTGCACCCGAGGCACAAGCTGCTCCCGAGCCAATTGCCCCCGTTGAAGTGGAGCCCATGAAGCCCGTGAAGCCACAGAGGTTCACCAGCAGACCCAACCAGGAGAGGCCCCAGGTGAAAAGGCCTGCAATTGCTGCACCACCCATGCGAAATGAGCTCTTCAATGGAATTCGAAGGCGTCCAGCCATCTTCAATAAGCCCACAACTACCGTGAAACCAGTGGAGGAAGTGGTGGAGAATGAACCGGCGGTCACAGAGGCAGTGGTGCAACTCAGTGAGCCCCAACCCACACTGAAACTGCAGACCTTGTTCGCAGAACCAGAAGGTATTCCTGTGGCAGTCCAGGAGCCGGAAGTTCAGGCTTCCGAGCCAGCTGTGACTTTCGTTCAGCCAGAGCCCGTTGTCGAAGAAGTGGTACCCTCGGAGGTGGAGATTGATACCAGAATCGAGGACATCAAGCCCATTGAAGCCATCGAAGAAATTCCTGCAGTTATAGTGGAAAGTCTAGATCAATCAATGCCCCAGGAAATCGCGACAGCAGCCGAAAACCAGGAGGAAGCTAAGATAACTGAAGAGGCCAAGCCCGAAGAAGAGCCCAAGCCGGAAGAAGAAGTTAAGCTCGATGAAGAGCTCAAGCCAGAAGAAGCATCTAAGCCGGAGGTGGAGACAAAGCCCCAGGATATCCAGGCCGAGGAAATGGATGAAGTGCCAGCCAAGGTGGAGGAGATCATTGAAGCTATACCCGATGTAATAAAATCGGAGCCAGCTATTATGGAGGCCAGCAACTCTCACGAGGAACCCATGGTCAATCTGGAAGCTCTGGAGGCAGCTAAGCCAGCAGATGCCCCCGAGAGCATGCCAGCCACTCCCGAAATGGAACAGCACAGTCCTCTTGTGGAAGAAATCCTGGATAACAAGAACGATGGAGAGGCGCAGGAGTCGCTGGGAGGTTTCAAGCCAGTGGATCCCGTGATGGCCGCCGAAGCGGAGCAGTTGATCACCGACTTTCTGAACACCCTGAAAAAGAACGAAGAGAAACAAGAGACTGACTTGGCTGCGAGTATATTGCCAGTGAATAATGCAGATGTGTCGATTGAGGAGGCCAAACTTCCTGAGCCCGAGGTCGTGGACAAGAATGCCTCAGTTGAGGAGCAGTTGTTGGAGGAAACCGAAGACAAGAAGTCCCACAAGACCGAGACGATGCAGGACTCTCCGATCATCAACATTATGCAGGTGCAACATATGCCCATGGACTATAGAATCCCAGTCCGGGTTATTCCCGTTGAAGTCCAGCCTGTTCCTGCAATCTCTGAGGCATCAGAGGTCGTTAAGGAAAGCGCTCCCGAGGTGCTATTCGAATCTTCTAATGAGGAGACCAAGGAAAGTGCTCCACAAGTAGCTGAAGAAACCGTACCCCAAGAAGTTGTCGATACATCTCCTGAGAAAGTTAAGGCAGTTCCGGAATCACCTGTAGAGGAGCCCAAAGAAACTTCTCCTGAAGAGATCAAGGAGACCACTCCCGAGGAAATCAAAGAGGCTGCTTCAGAGGCTGAGCTCGTGGCCACGCCCGAGCAGACTGCTTCCCACGACGATGACGCCCAGGAGAGTCTAGTCACAGCCGCCTACATGCCCTCCATTGAGGACATCGTGGAGCTGGTGAAAGAGCGCCTGGATCAGACGCCCAAGAAGGATCAGCTAGCTCCCATGGAGCTGATACTCACGCCTGGTGGTGATGAGCCCATGTCCTTGGTTCAGAGCAATCCAGATCAGTTGGAGCCGGAATCTCAGCCCACGGAGGAGGCGGCTTCCACTGCCGAGCAGGAAGAGGAAGTCATCCTGCCCATTTACAAACGCGTTTCCGCCGCCGAACCCGCCATGTCCAAGGTGCAAACGCTGCCCGTAACGGTGAGCAAAGTGGATACGGAAGCTTTGCCGGAAGCTGAGTCCCAACCTGAAGTCCGGGAACCCAAGATGGACGCCCGCAAGCGACGTTTCCTGTTCCGCGCCGATGCCAGCTAAAAAGGAACAAAGGGAGATACAGCGAAGGACAGATAACAATCCTGGCAAGGATTATTCTTCCACTTAGCCCGAACCGGAACCCCGTTCACCTCCTAGTTCCCAATACGCTATCCCACTCGTTTGCACCTAGGCAAGTTGTATTTAATAATTTTTGATTTCCTAGTTTTATGGCCATTTCTCAAAGGATAATTGCGGACGAACGTTGAAATTTAAGTTTAGAATTGTTGTTCCGACCATTTAAAGAAACAAACTATAAAAAAATGGCAAAACATTTAAAATAAAAATATTAAAAATGAAATAATACATTTGTGTGCTATAATTGGGTAAAATAAGAAGGAATACACTTTTGTCCAGCTAATCAACTCCATCGTGCAGAGGTTTGAGTGTCTTGTGTGTTGCCTAATCGCATTCAATTTCTGAACGGTAGAGATGGTACGCTTAGAAACAACCTAAAGCAAGTATTAATTATGGTCAAATAATAGTACAAATAATTCTAAAATCCCGAAGACTCTTTTAAAACATTTTTAAATATGTGCTTAAAATCAAAAGACTTAGGAAACGAACTCCGAAGGGTATTCCAACAAACTGTAGCCTATTACAATATTCGTAATTTATTATAGAAAATCGTTTACAAATCGCATTAACACTTAGGCTTTGGGTAATTAGCTGTATGAGGCAACTACCAGGTGAGACAACCACAATATACAGATACAGTGAACACTGGACGTTAAGTAACTAACACATCACATCACATTGCCGGAGCCAACGCAGGATCACCAGGATAACTACGCCTCCGTTTCCTGCTCCAGTTCACCAGCCTGGATTTCCTCGGGCGTTCGCAGATCAATAGCGAACTTTTGTCGCGTGGGCGTAATAGTGTCGCTGGGCGTGGCCTCACCCTCCTCCTCGCCGGCCGCCTCCTTGACCCGCCGCGAGTAATCCTGGAAGGCGGCGGCCAGGGCAAAGGTCAACTTGCGCGCCATCGCACGACTGTCGCAAACGAAGGCGTGAACCTCAAAGGGATGCGGACTCGACTCGTCCTTCACCACAATCATGGCAAAGACCCTTGTGTAGACCAGGTCCTGAACGCCATACGAGATCGTGTCGATCGGGTAGCTCCAGTGATTGATGCTGGCCTTGGGCGAAATGATCTCCAGCTGGACTCCGTCGGTGGACACCTTCAATTCACAGTTGGGCAGCACCTTGTTGGGCGGCAGGTTCTTGGCCACGCCCACCATTATGTCCACCGGACGACGCGTGTATTTAATGCCCCATAAGCCACGTGCCACTTCGGAACCAATGTATTTCACCTGCAGGGAGAAAATGTGCACATTGTATTAATACGAGTTGAATTATAAAAAGATGGCCGATTCTACCCTGCAACATCTAGGGAAATGACATTTATCCAAAAAATTCACCATTCAGTGCATAACCAAATATTATTTATATTTTACGTGAGTAAAAGAATATGTTTTCATGGATGATGTGGGATTATTCGTTGGTGGCATTGGTTTCCGCTGGGCATGCGTTGCCGTTAGAGTCGCTTCATTTGCATCCGACCTGCGACCGGATGTCCACAGCCAAGCCAGAAAGCTGTTGCTGTTGCTGATGTGGTGGCACTGCCACGCCCCTTTCCCCTCCCCGCCCCTAAAGTGAAGTTCAGCAGGGCGTGACGCATGCGTGTCTGGCTCTTTTTTGGTCATGTCTCATGTGCGGGTGGTATTATGTTCATTTGTCTGCTTTTGTTCGCTTATGCACTCAGAAAAATAGTTCATAAAAAATTAAGAAAAATAGTTTAACTGTGAATATAGCCAAATCAATTGTAAACACAATTTAAGTAACTATAAGATATACATAGTTTAATTTGTGGACAGTGGATACATTCTATTAAAAAAGTTGTAATATTTTATTTTCAAAACGAGATGTTACTAATATTACTTCATTTCTCTCCGTGTACTTTCGGTCATATATGTAAGAGGTCTTTATGCGGATTGGTACCTGAGCTTGCCGCACATATTTCACAGCATTTAAAATTTGAAAACGCATTTCGCAATGTGGACACTCACCTTGAACGTTATGGGCAAATCCTCCACATTGACCTGACTGTCCAGATCGGTGGAGCTACTGTTGTTAGAGGCCATTCTGTATGTGTATCTGTATCTGTATCCGTATCTCGTCTATCGCGAAAGGTGCAAGCGAAGATCCACCGTTAAACGCATGCACCGCAAACCAACTGAAAGGGCGCAAAAAACACGAGCTTGAGTAATGCTCCCATTAAATGTATCTCGGCGATATTTTAAGCGGTGTCTTGCGAAGTTCACATCCACCGTTGCATTACCATATCTCTACCGCAATCGCTGAGTTTTACATGGTGCACTTTTTTGAACCTATATATGTGAATTTATGTTTTTATTCCGCTGAATATCGGTCGGGTCGACTAATGGTTCTGTTTGGGCTTGTTGCTGCTGTCGCCGGCTGCCGATTGCTACTGAACTCGCGATCGGCTGCAAAAGGTGTCGCAAGTTGTGCCCCAGGTAGCTTCACTCCCTCTCACTCGCTCCCAATGCCACCTGGCCCCTCCCTGCCCCTCCCACTCCGGCACAGGTAAACAGAAAAGAGCGCAGGCAAAACAAATGGGCTAAACAAAAGCAGTGCTCAGATAACTTTTTTCTCGCACGCGGTGTCGCTGCCTAAGCACAAACAACTGATATTAGAAGCAACCGTCAGGCACTGAGAAAAATAAGTAGTGACAAGAAATAACAATCGCCTAAAAAGCCTTTTCAATAGTTATATATTATTATCTTTCGTATTTCTTACAGTTGTTTTCAGTGTATCGGCGGAAATAGAGGTAAGTGGTCAAGCATTTTTAATCTAATCATAAAATAATTATGAGGCAAAACGTGTATGTGGCAACTGATAACCCAGTCAACGCCGCTCAAGCAGGGTATTCGATCACCAACTTGTTGAATCACTTCTTCCACACGCACTCTTTGCTGCACACTATTTATTAGAAATGTATTATTAATATTTCCTAACGCAGCCCGTTGACCGACCACTCCAAATGCCCAACAACGAATATAGGAGCATTATACCGGATATATGTATACATACGTACGTACATATGTAATACAATGGCCATGCAGCAATAGTTGCATGTCTGCCAATTAATGACCAACGAGAGAAAAGCGAATTAAAACCAAAACTGAAACGAATGGAAATAAATTCATTGCAATGCATTTCACCTGTGTGACGTCATTTTCGGGGGAGAGGGAACTCTGTGTGCAACAATATTTTTAAAGCTTTTTGTTCTACTCTGACTGCCATTGGAATGCCAATGACCCGAGCGGATAACTAGTGACAATAGCCTGTAGTAGACACAAAACCCACGACTAATTGTGTGCTCTTCCGAACTTTTGTTCTAACGCCACTTACAAGATCCCTGATCCGGATTTTCACGAAGATCACGTTCACGGCTTTTACATTTGATATATTACCACATTCAGCCATTACAACGTTTGCCACGCTATTTCAGTTCATAGCAATATAAGTCTTAGCCTTGCGCTCACTTTTGTGTTCTCCTTATCGATGGTTTCTGCTGGGTTACAACCGAAAGTTTAATTTTGAAACCTTTTTGAAACAGGTAATTTATACTGTAATGCATACTATATTACAGATAAGTATTAGTTGTACTGTATTGATGGACTTTGATCGAACAAAAACGGTGTGTTTTAAACATTTTCCACCCATACAATTTGTCTGTATCTTCGATAGTATCATAATAGCAACAACCATAACAATAACAATAACAATATCGGAGACAGGTTCAGTGGCACTCGCAGTCCAATTTAGATAATTTTCCACTGGACATTTCAGTTTAAGCGGTACGAAAGCCGGAAGCTGCTCATATGAGCATATCTCCTCTGGCCATATAATAGATTTATCTTTTTTATCATAATTTGTTTACGGGCACTGCTGATGACTGTTATTTGTCGCACACATGTATAGATTTGCGTATGTGGATCTCGCACTAATTCCCTTTCATTCACAATGACTAATTCACTAAGTCTGGTTATTTCTTTTATTTACGCTTTATACACTTTATTTTTTTCCAGTTCCAAGTGTCTGTTATCACATATGGCAACATTTACCCAATCGTCTAATCTTATCACTTGCTACTTCACGCACACGGGATTCAACACAGGTAAAGTAGGTAAAAGTCTTATTGGGTTTTTGGCCAAAAATTGGTATAATGTCTCGAGTTAAACTAAATATGCAAGTGGGCTCAATGTAATTCCGCTGATTTCCGAACTGATTATTGGGTAGTCACTTTTGAATTACCTATTTTATGGGGCTTTGCTTCGTGGTACACCTGTTTCCTCGGCCGGTGAGCGCGCAACTAACGAAATCCCAAACGATCGCGGGCAGTGATGCCGCTTTGGCCATAAGCATTTTCTTGAAAAAGTTTTCCACGTTGTAAAGCTTGTACCAACTACTCATATTTGCTTTGAAAATATTTTAGTAGATATAGTTTATTTTTTTGTATAATCCTATTTATCTAAGGTCTTTGTTTTTGTAAGTACTAATAAGAGTTTTATTTTTCTCATCCAATACATAAACCACATTTGAGCTTAAGTGCCATTGAGCTTTTTGTTGGATATAAAAAGGGTTGAACGGATTCGTTGCTAGTTTTGCATTAATGAACGCGTTTAAGCTATGTAATATTTAAATATATTAAATATATTACTCACCTGAATTGAAACGCTTAGAAAGCCCCTAAAATGATTGTAAAATATAAATGGATCTATTCAAAAGCAGCTGTATAACAAATATTTTGGAGTAAAAATGACAAACTCGTGAATTAGACCAAAAAGCATGCCATTTAATTTATTTTAAATGCATATCTGGCTTTTCATTTTACGTATTTATATATTCTTATACCGAGATTATAATGCATAGCAGTAGCAACGATTGTTCTCCGCTGAGAACGAATTCGGTGGTCGAACGCAGCCTCGACTGTCGTCTTCGTAGAGCACAGGCAAAGAATTACCTACAAATATGTTGCGTTAAAGTGGTGATTATGTCTATATTATTCCTGGATATCTCCTTTAATCGCAAGTACTGGTATTATGTGGTGGAATGTTTTGTTTTAGCCTTGATTGCCCTGAGTGCTTTGCTCTATTTTGGAAAGTACTTATGGTTAATTTTTGGTGAAGATCAGGTGATTGGAACAGAGAGTCAAAAGCGTCTGCTGGATGGAAGAGATGGTAGGTTTTTCTCAGATTTCCTAAAAGTACCATCCTATAGCGATTATTAAAACCCGTGATTTTTCCTTTAGACACCGCCTTTGGAACAGTGTACGCACGTCCAGCTCCAATATCGCAAATCAATGTGGAGGACGATAACGAGTGCCACATCCCCTACTGGCATTCATCTTTCTGTCAATGCGGGTCTCTGCCAATCCAGGAACAACCTATGCTAAAACAGAAATCACGGCTCACATGCCAATATTGTTATGTGCCGATTTTCGATTATGATTACAGATTAATTACAGATGTTCGGATGTTTCCCGCTTTAAAAAGACAGGCTGAAAAAGACGCAGCATAGCAAATGAGTTCAAAAAGAAGTGTCAAGTACCTGAGAACTGTAGGAGAAAAATTCCTAACCAATTTTTTCCATTTTCGGCAGACGGCTACATCCAAAATTCACGGGTCGTTGAACCCGCCATTCCGATCAAGTTATTGCAATGTGTGACCAACCTGAGGTACTGGATATCCACAACCATATTGCATCGATTGGTCACGGAAGTACAACATGTGGATAAGGTATCTCAGAAACTGGGCTTGATCAATCTTAAAATCGGAGAGACAAGTCTTAAGACGCTACGATTGTGGGCCGAGCACAAGCAGCTTGTGGAGACCTGTCTTCCCATGTTGCCCACGGTGTTAGCTTTTCTAAACTTTTCTGACAACCAGAATTACCTGGTTCAGCGCATTAAGGAATTAGCGAAGGGCGTCTACATGGCTGAGTACCGATGGAAATTTTTCCAGGAGCCGCACGAGCGTTTGCCTACAGATGCCGCCATTGTGTTCCACCTGTTCTGCGTCTACATGGATTGTCAATTGATGCCAACTGCGCAGGAAGGTGGACGAAGGCCTTTCTACTCCCGCTATGTGGTAATCGGCGATAATAACCCTATCGAGGACATGGTGTCCCGTGTGAATAACAGAGCTAACTGCGCCATACTGGCCACTGGAAATCACGAACCCGATCCCAAGTTTAACTTTTTTAGCGGCAAGGAGGTGCAGGATTGCCTATACGACAGAAACAATCTATTCTACGTGATCATCCAGTTCTTGACCTATATGCGAGAACAGCAGGGCTCCATTCTAGAAGGTGTGAGTCTGGGCAGGAGTGGCATCAACATTTTGGATGTAATTGATGACATCCCTCACATTCCCAGATGTGATAAATTTTGATTAAACTGCAACTATTTTTCAAGCTTATTAGGAAAACTAATAATTTTGCTTTCAGTCGAGATACGACAATATATTTATGTATATTTGTATCTGTTTTTTTTTTTCTAGTTTTGGACTGTAACGGTCGATAGCCGATAGAGCTGCTAGAAAACATAAACAATATCGATATATAATTGGTATTTTCTTACTAGCGGGTGGTATTTTCGGTCATTGCGACTGCAGTCACACTGACTCGGGAAAATAATTATTTGTTAAAATTCGTGGTCCCGCGCTGTACATCCGTGACTGTGCTGTGCGCTCCGCTCCGAGTGCGGCAAAAAGCAACCAAGAAGGCAGCCAAACGGTAATTTACGGCGGAGTAGTGATTAGATATACCGAAATCGCGACCAGTGCACGTGCAATTGTGAATCGTTCTCGGTTTTCCCGACCCGCACCCGCCCCCTTTCTTCTCTCGTCCATTGTGACTGTGCACAATTAACTTGCATACATACGTATATGTATGTACACACTCTGTTTGTATGTATGCGTGCCACCCCCAAGTGAGGCGGAAACAGGGAAAAGCGAAGGAATTTTTGCAAAATCCAAGATAACTGTGCTATTTTCACAATTTTATTTTGCCAACTTTTCACTCGTCACTTTGCTCTTGCAGCAGCAAAACCAACAACGGGGAAAATCGGAAGTTATTTTCTTTTCTCTCTCCACACTTTTATCGCAAAACAACAGCACCACTGCCCGTGGACCGCGCTCCCCGCTCCCCCTTGATCCTTGTAAATACAGTGAATATCGGCTAGCCAGCAACATAGAAAATACAAAGAATCTTAGTTTGCATTTGAGTTGTTGATAAAGAGTATAATCACCTTATCGAAGCAAAGTTTTGAACACAGTAACCGCATAGTACATGGACTTCGTTCTTTTTTGTCAAGGTCTAAAAAATATACATTTATATTCAGTCGAATGCTTTTTATTAGTGTTTAATTATATGTTTAATTAATTTCCAAAAATGTTTATTTTGAATTTCGCCTCTCCAATAGGAGTCGCGTTTTTGCTTAGGCACACAAACAACCAAAGAACCGATTTCCAGACCTTAAGCTAAGGTAAGTTAAATGCACCTCCTATCATTTATCCACCACCAATTTTCATTAAAATAAAATAACAATAGATTGTAAGCTAAGAAGGGTCCCATTTTACTTTAATTGATAATCCTAAAATGGCATCCATTTTTTTGCGTAGGGGATTCCCCTGCAGGAGACGTGTACGAGCATGTCTGTTATTGTTGCACGTGGGTCACCGAACTGGGCGGGTGGGCGTGGTCAGGTAGTGAAGCATATCTGTATTTCAACAATCGATCTTAATCTACGCTTCCTTTTGAGTTCCTTTCGTCTAGGACTTGTTATACTTGATTTATTACCCCTTCCCGCGATTTCCCATCCTCGAAAACCGGTTGCTTGGACTTAATCATCGGTTCTCGCTGGTTATTTTATCTGAAATTCTTTCTGACTCACTGCAGTTGTTTAAATTACTGGCGTGGCAATCCCCATTTTTTTGTTTTTCTTTTTCAATAAAATAAATAATTGATTCGAAATAAATTGATTCGCTGATATGCAATTTTTGTTTATTTATTTTATTTAAATTTCATTTGAAATCATTTGAAATAGAAGATGTTTATTTGTTGAAACATAATATACTAAATTTCATTTTCCCGAACGTATATAGTTTTAATATAATATTATAATAGTTATCGCAAATGTTGTTGGATTTTCTGTAACAATTCAAAATTTATGCCAGATTGTCACTGTTGCATAAAGCCCGTGTATTCCGGCCCTAATTAAATCACAGTAAATGCCTGCTCAATGTGGCTGAAATAATTCGATTTAAAGGTCAGATCCCAGCACTCACCCAAGTGACTTTCCAACTCTTTTTGTTCTCGGTTCCCAGTTCATCAGCGAAAATTAAGTGAAATCGAGAAGGAGGAGAAAATCAATATGTGCTAATATAATTTTGTGGCAAACAAATTAAAGCACACAATACAGCACGTCGCTGCTCTGATTTATACACATAGGTATACATATACCATATTTATGCAGTTGATTTGGTTCACTTTCAGTGTTGAATATTTGAACAGCTGCATTTAATATTTGATACTGGCTAATTTGATTTGTGGGTAAGCACATTTACTACCTCCTGAACTGAAAAAGGGACCGAAAGTGGGTTATGTTTGCCCCGACCGCCATATAAACTGGCGTTGATTTACGACTGCAACTAAAGTAGGCTAACCTAGGCCCAGATAACTACTACGTTTTTACTTCTCCAACGATAGCATATTCTAATCTCAAAGGCTGGGTTACTGGCTTTCCAAGAGAAGAATCATGCACATGGCGACCTTGACACGGTTTTCATTTGCTCTGCAGGAAAACCCCATTGGAAACCCCATTTATAGCACCGTATCCATTGAAACTTGATTTCGTTATTTGTTTATCGACGCCACTTCATGCAAATTGAAGAAATTCAGTTGGATATATTTTTAGCTGGCACATCCATGCAATATTTGCAAATGCCCCAGTGCATATATCGTATATCGTATTCACCTCTCTGCCAACCTGATGAAATTCTTTTGTATATATTTTTTCACTTTTTGTGTATTTTTCACTCTATTCTCCGTTCGCGGGGAACACAACCAGGTTGGACCACCCACCGCCCATTCCAGCTTTTACTTCACCTTTCTCTGTGATGGGAAGTTGCCACCTTTTTCCAGAGCACCTCCCTCCGCCTTCCGTTCCCGGAGGTCTGGAAAAAGAACCGGGTTAATCGTCGCCACGTTGTCGTCGTGGAGAACAAATGACTTTTTTTTCGTTTGTGGGTCAACTGCCATTTTTGCCATTAAAATAATTATTATATTGCCATTTTGCTTTTAAATGTAGTAACTTTGGGTGAGTGGAACGCATCGAGTAAATAAAAAACTTATTAATGTACCTAGGTATACCAACAGATTGAAATTGATATTTTCCCTTCAGAAAATAAAATCAGTCTAAAATAAATTGTTTTCAGTGCTGCACTTCATACGTGCGTAGTAATAGATGTGCCAAACCACAAAAATACTTGAATTCCTGCTTTATAAATCTGTCCACAAATTGCTAATCAATAAATCAACATCTCGCCCAATTTGGCTTATCAGAATGGGAACTATTCAGTACTTTGTACAACATTCTGTGCCTAAGTACTCGATTTCCGCTTGTCACCCGATTTATTGCTTATCTCTGGTCAGAAATAAACTCTTTGCTGGCCCAGGCGTCTTTGTTTCAAAGCAACCAAAGCCAAACTGGCTTAATAACCCACATAAACACCACCGAATCCGAGTCCCAGTTGTCCGGGGGCAATTGGGCGGAGAATACCCGTTCAGTGCAACTGGAGCTGGAGAGGCCAATTAAAGCACCTGACCTAGAATATTTGTAGCCCAGTTTCGCCCGCCGGGAGTGCATATGCTTTACATGCCACCGCACACTCACATTCGGATGCTTAGATCTAACAAACTCGTACTTTGTGTTCTCAGTCAACTGTGAGCTGCATGTTAAATGGTTTGAATTAATTGCGTAGGCCACGCATGTCACGTGCACTTCACATAGGACTATATCATATATATGTACATATAGTACGATATACGCCAACCCCTTTCCACCCACAACGTCCTTGAGCAAAGCAAAGCAAAGCAAAGCCAAGCCGGAAATTTAAAGTAAACATTCCAAATATCCCTGTTCATATTTGGATGTTTATATGTTATTGTAGAGCACATCACGTACTTATGTAGCCGAGGCCAAAATGCAAGGTTTTAAAGTCAGGTTACGTTTCATTTCAACTGTCTTTAAAGGGAATTATTTGCGGCAGCTAAAAATAATGATGAAGTGTCGTTAAATGATATTGACAAGGCGGCAAATCATAATGTTTGTTATAAATCAATTCATATTATTTTGGTATTCCTTTGACCGTTTTTTCACGGCACCAAGTAATAAAGATATCGCACTTCTTGGTAAGGAAAATAAATAGAATATATAACTATAACTTTCTTCAGATGATGAAGGCGGATAAAAAGATACTACAAACTTTAAAATACCATTCTGTTTTCGACCAAGGACTCAAATTCAGTTACGTACAAGCCATGTCTTAAACGTTTTCTTGATGGCCTGTGACAACACAAGCCGCCGTATATGGCCAAATATTTGGTCAGCCAAGAGACTTGGCTATTTCATCAATGGCCACAGCTTGGGGGTATTCGGCTTTGGGAACCTGTCCGTCCGTCCGTCCCATTTATGCGAAGCACGTCCGCCTATCACGGGCTGCCTGTAGGGGATTAAGAGCTCTCCGGAGCGAAGGTGGCTATCGGTATTGGGTATCCACTATCAGCTGCAAGTGACACATTTTAAGCCGCGCCAGTTGACCACGTCGTTGGCCGGGCCAACAGTGCCTATCTGCCATTTGGTACCTGTATTCAACAAATGCCGGTGGAAACGGGTAAGGGCCAGGTAGGGCCGTTTGGCCCAGGCATTCCAGCAGTGCCCATTCGTGTGTGAACAGAGGTGGTTTTCCGCAAGCTCCTCCGCAATATATATCCATATATATATTTGCCATTATTAAGATTTTCTTCGGATCGCATTCGCCGCATGTAAGTTGTGATTCATTTCCTTTCATTGCTCATTGTTGATTCTAGATTAAATCGCTTGGTGCGCACTGCACTTGTTCAATTGTATCTTTGCTTGCCGATATTTGTATATCTATAATACACTCGGAAAATATTCAAATGTATTTTCAAATATTTTGATTTTCGTTCTGCCATTTTTGCTAATCAGCAATGTTTATCCTAGCCATCATCATTCCTTGTGAACCCAAGCTAATGTTTAATCTAAGTTATGTTTACCATATTACATTTAATTTAGTAGTGAGCTAGTATATCTAGAGTACAAATATCTAGTGTTCTTGAAAAGCTTGTGTTCCAATTGAGCTATTAATGT